ATAACTACCACAGTGTGTTTGTTCTCATTATACCATGCCACCTTTCTGATGTTATTTCTGATGTTATTTCTCTATCTGGATGGGCCCATCTGATTTGCAGTCCAGGGGTGACCTGTATATTAACAACCCTATCCTTAACATGCAACGTCTTGATAGTAAATTGCCCTCCTCCATAGTTTTAAAAAGGCACAAAGGCTGATTTTTTTTTTCACTGCCTTCCCCAGGCCCAGCACCGAGACACGTTCATTGAGGAGCGCTATGGGAAGTACAACATCAGTGACCCTCTGATGGCTCTGCAGAGAGACTTCGAGGCTCTCAAGGAGAAGCATGATGGCGAGAAGCAGCCCGTCTGCACAAACCCGCTCTCCATTCTGAAGGTGGTGGTGAGGCAGTGCAAGAATATGCAAGAGCGCATGCTGTCCCAGCTGGCGGCCGCCGAGAGCAGGCACCGCAAGGTAGCTTCCCCAGGGGCCAGTGCTGCAGCGGAAAGCCCACTCCCGTGGTCATGCTTGCTCAGCTTGGGGCCTCACCGGTGTCAAAAAGCCCTTTAGTTTACCCAGACAACAGGAAACCTGGGCAGTGTGCCTGGCCCCTCTTTACGGTGGTGCTCCGCCAGCTCTGTCTCTCCGGGACACTTGGCGTGTTTTTCCGGCTCTTGATCATCTGGACCTGGCAGCACACCGGGGTCTGATGGAGCTTGTAGCTGAACAGAGCGTTTTCGGGTTACTTACTTGAGTGATAGACAGCAAGATTAACAAGTATTTGAGGAATGCTCTGTGAGCCATAAGCAACTCTACGGCCGTGGACTTGGGGGTTTAGACACAAGATACACATAAGCCAATAGATGGTTTTCACACTGCTCATAAAACCACAAACCGTGCCTAGGGTTGTTGGCTTTAAAGCTTTCTTAGTTCTGAGGACAGTGGGCGCTGTGCGTGCGCACGCTGCCTTATCTCAGCCCATGGGATGCCTCCTGGGGCCTCACGTCAGGGAATTCTAGCACTTGTGAATTCAGCCCCCAGTTTGGCATTGACTGCTCATATTTGGACTGTAAAGTGGCTTGGCTAGAATCTGCATTGTTAAACATCCGTACCAACAAGAGGGGACATCGTGCAGTTAGTAGAAAAGTTTAAGCTGAGAAAACGGAATTAGCAGCTGTGAGGTTTGGTGGGCCCTCAGGTACTTTTCCGGTCGTGTAGGCTAAGCCGTCCGCTTAAACCAGGTCTCATAAAAGGCCTCACGTCTCTCACAGAGGCCCGGGGAAAGGGAAAGGGGGCTCCTCCCCACTGATCGGCATTCCAGGAGCCTCCAGAAGGCCACATGCTTGTGCTTTATTTGGGGGGGTGGGGGGTGGAATGCAGGGTTGTTTGGGGTTTTTTTTTAAATAGTTTTAATCGAGTTATCAAAGTTGACCCAAGACGGGGAGGCAAGAACGACATGATCTGAAGACATCTGTGTGATAGGCAGCCCTTATTTGCCACTTTGTACGTGAGGGAGTTGAATTGTTTGAAAGAGCCGGCTGCCTCTTTCCCGTGGAAGGCATAGTGCGGGACACGCAGTAGTGCACGGTGACTTGTAGAGAGGAAGACGTTAAGGGGAATCAGACCGCCTGTGTCAGACGGTTGGGGGTTGCTTCTACGATATGTTTTGGGAATAAGGTGTGATATGATTGATTGTGCAAACACCACCTTAACACCAGTTGCTGCCGCTGTTGTTTTCAGGGGGCTCCTGGCCCCGACAGTTCTCTCTGTCATCCTAGGAATGGCTAATGAGGAGGGGCACTGAAAGAGAGCCACTGTGCCCTGGAGGTGCACGCATGCGAGGGTTCTAGGCAGCCCAGGGAGGAGCTACAGCCCCCACCCCCCCCAGCCCCACTGAGGAGAGTGTACCATGCAGGCAGAATCTCATGGGAAACATCTCTTTAAATCTGTAGTCTTCTTAAAATTGAGCCTAATCCCTCGGGACCAAGAAGAAGTAGAATAGGGCAAGAAGGTTAATTAAAAGGCCTTGAACAAAATCTCCATTTAATATCCCATAATCAAGCATTTTTGCAAGCAGGATGAAGTCAAGAGAACCTCTTCACCTCTTATCTAATTTATAAAGTGCCTGTTATTAATTAATCAAGGCGCAGGCAGGATGTCGCCCACTGAAAGGTTTCATGTCAGACACCCTCGGCAGGCTGTGGGTCCAGGGGTTTAGCGCTGAGCAAGGCTCCCCCACTTCCCTGTCTGCGTTCCCTCCTGTCTGCCTCGGCCACTGCCCCAAGTTGCACCACACCGCTTGGCAGTGCCGTGGCCTCCTCCCTCTGCTGGCCTGCGTTTGTGCAGATGTCATGGAAGGTAGGCGCTTTCTGCATCCTGGCACATTTGTCCTTTCAGGTCTCCACCCTTCCAGACCATGTGTCCTGCGATGGTCCGGGTTAGGGCTAGGGTGGTCAGGCCATACATACACCAGGGCTGGCCCAACGCTCACGGAGAAAAGGCAATGGAAAGATCATTGGATTTTTCCACACATGATGAAGCCCATGAGAGAGAGAGAGAGAGAGAGAGAGAGAGAGTGTGTGTGTGTGTGTGTGTGTCCCTGATCTCTGGTACCATTTTAGGTGCTTATTGGTTAGGTGGTTAGTATTTGATTATATCACTGTATTCTAAGAAAACATAATTCTTTGATATCAGGAAGTGACTTTCTAAAAAAATGCTCTAAAGGTAATCCTAGACCTTGAGGAGGAACGGCAGAGGCACGCCCAGGACACAGCTGAAGGAGATGACGTCACCTACATGCTGGAGAAGGAGAGAGAGCGGCTGAGCCAGCAGGTCAGTGAGGTGGGCAGGCCCACCACAGCATTGGCTTAGCTGCCATTCCTCAAAGATGGTTCCTCTGGGTGGCTGTCGTGTCCATCCCGAAAGAGGGCTCTGTGGCCAAGGAAACTTGGGAACTACTGAATTAAACCTCATTGAACAGTCTGGGGCGTAGTCATTTTAAAATTATTTTTAAATTCTTTTTTGGCGGGCTCTTACATCGCCTATCACAATCCATCCATCCATCCATTGTGTCAAATTGTACAAATGCTGCCATCATCATTTTCAAAGCCTTTTCTTTCTACTTGAGTCCTTGGTATCAGCAACTCTTTTTTCCCTCCCCACCCCCCATCCTCCCACCCTCATGACTCTGATAAATTATAAATAATTGTTATTTTCATATCTTACACAATCCCCTGTCTCCCTGAACCCACATTTCTGTTGTTCATCCCCCTCATAGTTGGGGGGGAGGGGGGGAAGGGTTACATGTTGATCATTGGGATCAATTCCCCTTTCTCCCTCTTCTCCCCCCACCTTTCCCCTACCCTCATGGTATCAATACTGTCATTATTGGTCCTGATGGGTTTATCTGTCCTGGATTCCGTGTCAAGAGCTCTTATCTGTACCAGTGTACATGCTCTGGTCTAGCCAGATTTGTAAGGTAGAACTGGGGTCATGATAGTGCAGGGGAGGGAGGAAGCATTAAAGAACTAGAGGATGCTGTGTATTTCATTGGTGCTATACTATATCCTGGCAGGCTCATCCCTTCCTTGTGACCCTTCTGTGAGGGGATGTCCAATTGTGTACAGATGTGTTTTGGCCTCCACTCCGACCCTCCTCATTTACATCAATATTATTGTTTGTTTGGGATCTTCTTGTGCCTGACATCAGATCCCATCAACACCTCGTGATCACACAGGCTGGTGTGCTTCTTCCATGTGGGCTTTGTTGCTTCCCTGCTAGATGGGGTTGAACAGGTTTTTAACTTCATTTATTAGAACCTGTCAAACGGAAAAGTACACTCTGTCTCCAAGAACAAGACCAGATATGCTACTTAATGATCTGTTTTCATAAATTTTGGGGGGACAAATAATGCTCTTTGTACTCTGGGAAACACCAACTTACAGCTAAGACTCTTTAGCCTTCTTGACTTAAGTCCCCAGTAAGAAGCACATTTTACCTCACAACCGAGTGCACACACATACACCTGAAACAGAAATGCCCTGAAATGATATGGAACTCGTACAGTCTTCAGTACCAGTTGAGGCGCCTTCAACCTTTTCTCTCTCGACCAGTCTCTGCCTGGGCCTTGAATAGGGTTGGGATAATTAAACAGACAATATTTATTTTTAAAACAGGATTTGAATTAAACTATGTATGGGACTTTTGTTGTTGTTGTTTTTGTATGTTAGACAAGGGAACTTGTTTTAACTTTTTGTTTTGAATTAGGTGAAGGTTTGCAGGACAAATCATTGTTTTCCATTCGACACTTCATGCACATTTAGTTTCATCTCGTGCAGTACAATCCTCTCAATGTAGCATCCCTCTTTCTCCCTCCTCCCTGTGTGTCCTGTGTCCATTCCTCCTCCTCTCCTAACCTCTCTCAGCTTTGTCCTTTTGGTCTCAAAGGGTCGGTTCTACTGAAGTGTGCATGGCTCCCCAATGTTACTGATTGGCTGAACTGTGACCCTCGCAGTGAGCTCACTTCCAGACCTGGAGTGACTGTGGGCTGCAGTCTCAGGGGTCTACCAGTCTCTGTTGGACCAGGAAGCCTGTTCTCATTTCTGATTTTGAGATCCGGTCCACATTTTTCTCCCACTCTGTCTGACCTTCTAATGAGATTCCTTTCAGAGCATTTGGTCATGGAAGCTGGGCAGCATCTAGTTCTTCTGACCTCAGGGTCTTGGCGACTGATGGCCATGGTCATTAGTCCAGTGTGTCTGATTGTCTTCACTCTTCTCGCCTCTGGACGGAGAAAGACCAGCAGCTGCACCAGCAATAGCCACTCAAGCATTTAAGACCTCTGTCCTCAGACCAGAGAGCGTGTGTTTTCCGCGGGGTTGGCTGTAGAATCCACTCTTTTCTGTCTTGACCGGCTCTCGCCCTAGAGTCCTCCATCTAGAGAGCCATGTGGCCTCACAGCCCCGCCCACAGCCCCCAGCAACAAAAGCACTGGCAGCCCCTCGTTCCTCTTGTGTCCTTCTGGTCTCATGCCCTGGAAGGGTTGGTCTGTGCCCCACAGCACGCATGGCCCTCCTGTGTGCCCGAGAGCCGTCAGCCAGGGCACGCTACTTGACCGTGATGGTTTCAGTACAGCTCTTTGTGTGCTGTCTCTAAGCAAGATGTGTGGTGATTGTTTTTGTGGTTTGTTTTTCTAGTTGGAATTTGAAAAGTCCCAGGTGAAAAAGTTTGAGAAGGAGCAGAAGAAGCTGTCCAGCCAGCTGGAGGAGGAGCGCTCCCGCCACAAGCAGCTCTCCTCCATGCTGGTGCTCGAGTGCAAGAAGGCCACCAGCAAGGCCACCGAGGAGGGCCAGCGGGCCGGCGAGCTGAGCCTGAAGCTGGAGAAGGAGAAGAGCCGGGCCAGCAAGCTGGAGGAGGAGCTGGCAGCCGAGAGGAAGCGCGGCCTTCAGACCGAGGCCCAGGTGGAGAAGCAGCTGTTGGAGTTCGACATCGAGAGGGAGCAACTGAGGGCCAAACTGAACCGCGAAGAGAAGCGGACCAAGACGCTGAAAGAGGAGTTGGAGAGTCTGAAGAGGGCGGTGAAGGACCTGGAGACCTCCCACCAGCACAGCAGCCCCCAGGAGCAGCTGCTGCCACCCACTACCTACTCCAAGGGCACAGCGACCGAGCCGCCCGCGCTCGTGTCTGCCTTTTGCCAAACAGAGAGTTTCCCGGCAGAGAGAACCCAGGGGGGCAGCGTGGGCAAGGGGGCAAGCAGCGGGCTGCCTGGCCCCACCACTCCTCCATACTCGTATGCAAAAACCAATGGTCACTGTGACCCAGAGATAGCGAGCAGCAGGGAGTCAGTCGCCAGCAGCGGTGGGGAAAACCAGGCACCACCGAGGGAGAAATGTGTGGGGCTGACCCAAGAAAAACCTGTGGAGAACGGTGGGTGTCTGGTGGGCCCTGAGTCTCCGGTGCCAACGTGCAGCCACCTCCCCTCCAGCGGGAGCTCGCTGTCCCCCAGCAGCACTGCCTCCTCCTCACTCACATCCTCCCCCTGCTCCTCCCCCGTGCTCACCAAGCGCTTACTGGGCTCCACAGCCAGCAGCCCCGGCTACCAGTCTCCCTACCAAGTAGGGATCAACCAGCGGTTCCATGCTGCGCGACACAAGTTCCAGTCCCAAGCAGACCAGGACCAGCAAGCAAGTGGTCTGCAGAGCCCTCCGTCCAGGGATCTGTCCCCCACCCTCATAGACAACTCTGCTGCCAAGCAGCTGGCCCGCAACACGGTCACACAGGTGCTCTCCAGATTCACCAGCCAGCAAGGGCCCATCAAGCCCGTCTCTCCCAACAGCTCCCCCTTTGGCACCGACTATCGAAATCTGGCGAGCACTGCCAGCCCCAGAGGAGACTCCAGCCATTCGCCCACGCCAGGGAAAGTGTCCAGTCCTCTGAGTCCCCTGTCTCCAGGGATCAAGTCTCCTACCATCCCCAGAGCGGAGCGAGGGAATCCTCCACCCATCCCGCCCAAGAAACCTGGCCTCACCCCGTCTCCCTCCACCACCGCTCCCCTGAGCAAAACGCAGCATTCCCAGCCAGCCTCCCTGGCCACCACTGAAGACCTTGCAGGCAGCTGCTCCTCCAGTGCCGTCCTCGCCAACGGCAAGGACATGGAAATACTGTTGCCTACCAGCAGCTAGTCACTCGGGGAGGACAGGCAGGCTGGGCATCTCCACACGTGACATTCCATCTGATTCAGCTGAGAGCTTAGAGTCAGATCGTGTTATTTATTTTGATAGTAGCTGAAACCGCCTGGCCAATCCATTTAGTGTATTTTCCCCCCTTTTGTATTTTCTTTTTTAACGAGAACCCGATTCGTGTGGATTTTTATGACTCACATCTTTGTAGTGACGCTGGAAAGGCACTCCAACACACCTCTAGCCCGGTGGGCAGCGTCAAGTTGTGACAGAGAGAGCTGATTTGGGACCAGAATCACTCAACGCACATTTTGAATGCACGCCAATTTTTATTCCAGATAAACATATTTTAAAAGTGCCTGAAATAAAACTGCCATACGAATGTGATTCTGCAGCAGAAATGCAAAACGGATCATCTTAATTGCAGAAAACAAGATCCTCCGTGAATTCTGAATGTTAAACACCAAAACTGCTTTTAATCCTCGTTTACTGTCTTTAGTACGAGCCTTGAGTTCCAGAACGAGGCTAAAATGGGCAAACGGGCCCTTCCAAAGGTGGGTGTGACCTGCCTTCCTGCTGAGCTCCAGCCCCAGGAGGAGCCCACCTGAGCATGAAGTGGTTGGGGTGCTAAATTTTTTTGTACTTTGGAAAAATTAAATAACTCCCAGCTTCCTGCATCCATTCTTGAACAGAAAGAAATCCCATCTCTAGTCAGAAAATGTCTTCAAGCATCTCCTGTGGTGTAAGGAACTTCCTTCCGCCTCTGGTTGCTGTTACTTGAATCGGAATTGGCTTGCTCGTTCTGTATAAAGGTTTGGAAACCAAGTGAGTTCTTTATTTTGTAATGCAAAAGCAATAACTTAAAGCGCACTCACTTTGTGATATTGTCAGTCAGAATTACACAGGTTTTACCAAATTGCCACACACAGGTTCCAAACTGCCAGCATTTGTGTATGTATCTGTGAAACCAAATTACTGCTTGCCCAGCTGGACAGGTATGTATATTGTAAAGATATACACCCCGTGAAATGTGTTAACATGCACACACTTAAAGCAGGTGAGTAGTAGTGTGATTATATCTTTGGAGTTTTCAGTACAGCCTGAAGGGCAAGTACAAATGCACACTTAGATTACCTACCAAAGTCACCAGACGTGGCTGGGACCCAGCCAAGGGCGGAATCCTGTGCACAGGTGGGTGGTAAAGTCCCAAATGCAAATCAGGTCACCAGCATCACACACAGCCAGACTACACCAGCCAACCCCAGGGTCCCAAACTCAGCTGGAGGACCGAGCGTGGATGTGAGTGTGGCAGGTCACTCGGACGGAGCGAGGCGGAGGGGAATGCTGGGAGCTGCCGCAACCACCATGCTCCTGCCCCGCCTGCTGCCTGCAGTACAAGAAGACCAGACCAGGCTCACCAGTCCGTCAGCTTTTCATGAAACCCACATTTTTAAATATCAAGAACCGATTCAAAAGTATTTAAACACTGCTGGTTAAGCAAACACTTTTGCAGCTGGATTCAGGTTACCGGCTGCTACGTGGCAGCCTCTTTTCTTTCTAGAAACTTCTGTCATTTCCATCATAAGGAGGTTTGTGGACCAAAACCTCATTTTCAGCCCTCTAGGCAAATACAGCTGACAGCCTTCGGATATCCTGACTGCCCCTCCCCACACAGGACTATGCCCCACCCCACCCCCAGCACATGCTGGACTGGTCTGCCCGTGTCAGTGGGGATGGAGGCTCTGCTGTCCGCGCACACAAGCCTCCTTGCCAGCTTCCATCTCGGAGCCTGTGCCTCTCAGTCACGGTGAAATCCTGCCCCTCGTCCTTGTTGGAGGGAAACCTTGGGCTGGAACTTGATATGTCTGTCATTCACAGTGAGCAGACTGCCGATGCTGGTGGATGGCGTGATCCCGACCAAGACAGCAGAAATGAGACTGGCTCCACCGCCCCAGGGTGAAAGGGGCACCCTAAATTCCCGCCCAAAGCAATCGGGAATTGAACTTCCTGCCCACGCGTGGCCACACTGAATAGTGTTTATGCTAAAATGGCCGAGCTTCTGAAGGGCAGGGATCAGTCCCAGCATGCTAGTACCTCTCTCGCTTTAATGCTGCTCTCCAATGGCGCATTGTGCTCTCCCTTTGTCTGGGCACAGAGAGAGAGAGAGAGATCTACATATGCAGAAAGAGATACTATAAGGGAGTTTATTTCTTAGCAAGTGCACTGAACAATGTATGTCTTTTACAGTGTAATATGGGGGTGGGGAAATGTGAAAGAAATTTGTATTTTTGCTAGTTGCCTATCTTCGGAGGTCAGTAAGCACAATAATTGCAATGGATCGAACTAACCCCAATAGCTGTTAAGAGGTTAGCGTTTACGTTTGCTGTAGATTGTGTGTGCCGAGTAAAAGTGTCAGGACTCACATGTTGGTATTAATCCGTGTCGCGAGAGCTGTGTTGCCGACCATCTGGTCTGTGCCACACAGACACTGACTCCTTCACCTCTGTAAAGCCAAACGGACCAACCGAATCCGCGTTCCTCTTTGTAGCAGACTCCATTAAAAGACGCTAAACCAGACTGGCTGGAGAAAATGGTGTCTTACGCACAGTGAAGGATGTTGAACAAGGCACGTTGGGTTGGGGAAGGAGCAAGGGATGGGGTATTCGAGGTGGCTTTAAAAATGAAGTCAATGTACACACACACACACACACACACAAAGCTAACACTTTCTTTAGCATCTTAGACCTGGAAAACCCTGTCACAGTAGCAGTTCTTTTTTCTTTTTTTTAATCATTTTATCCAGTGCTACAATAGTAGTTCTTAAGCAGGTTGGCGTTCTGAAACTTTGGAGAACCTAAGAAGAAGAGTAAGCTGTAAACCAAAAGTACCTAACTCGCTGCCATTGGTTCACAGCTGAGCCATAGCGACCCTGCACAGCAGTGGAGCGCTGCTGCGCTCCTGCCTGAGGTGGTATCTCCTGCCTGAAGCAGGCTGGCCTGGTGGTGAGCAGCCCGATGCGTGGCCCGCTGTGCCAAGAGTAAACAAACCCAACTGCCCCGAGCCAGTTCTGACTCCTGGTGGCCTCTTGGCAGGGTAGGACTGCCCTGTGGTTTCCAGGACTGGAACTCTGTGGGAATAGAAACCCCGTTTTTCTCCCAGGGCTCTTCTAGCCCGCAAACGGATCTACTTTCATGCAAGGTTTGATTGATTTCCCTGGAATCCAAGTCCCTGACCCCCGCCAAGATCTGGGGGCTCCAGCTTCAGAACGCCTGCTCCTGTCCAGCTCGCTGGTGTGACGAGCAGTGGCGTCCCAGCTGCAGCCAGACAAAAACACTTGAACCTCCTTGGCTGTCCCAAAGCTGTGCCTACAGCGTGGATGTTTACATAGCTCCCATGGCTAGTATTTCAGCCATCTAAGGGTCACTTCAGCCCACGGGCTGCCCTTTTCCCGTCGCAGCCAGGTCAGTTGGGTCAGGATGACGGGGTGGGGCATCACTGCCTTGCCAGTCTGGACTGAAAGCTTCGTATGCTGAGTCCTCAACAGACTTCGAATGCCCTTCAAAAGCGCGTGTTTTCAGAGGAGTCCTTTTGAACTGCTCTACAGCTAATTCAGGAAACATGCGAGCTTGTTCATCTGTGCTCCTATCCGCCAATTCGTTGGTAAAAGGCAGGTGATGGGAAGTGGTTCTCAAGCTTGCTTAGTGTAACCTGAGAAGCCAACTTACTCATGGCCAGGATCCTCGGACACCCAACCCAACTCACTCGTCATTCACTGCCATTAAGTCAGTTCTGAGACACGGTGACCCTATAGGACACGGTAGGACTGCCCCTGTGGTTTCCAAGACTACCTCTCTACGGGAGTAGAAAGCTTCGCCTTTCTCTTGAACAGCTGGTGGTTTTGAACTGCTGACCTTGCAGTTAGCCCAATACATAACCACTGCCCCACCAGGACTGCCCAGCCCAAAGAAGGCTTCCATTCTTGCCATGGAATCGAGGGCTGGCTGATAGAGGCACTCTAAGAATCCCCACCTTGAAAAGCAGTGATAAATGTGGGCACAGAAAACCTTGTAGCTCTCACCAGCGCTCCCCCAATAACTCACCTCTGACGTAAGAAGATGGCTCAAGCCCTTGACCCAGGTTTGTCAGACAATGGGGATGGTGCCAAGTAGGTCTCCTTGGATGCCACACAACACCCTCGGTTGGCACAAAGGTGTGGTGAGGTTTTAACCCCAGTGTGCCGATAAGGTGGCTGAGGCCCTTGGTAGGTGACAGCCAGGACTCCTAGACTACTGGGAGTCTGAGTAGGCCAAGAGTCTCCGATAAGTCTAAGCTGGAGCAAGTTAAGAAAATACCAGGGCAGCACACGCTCTTTCTTCTCCCCCAGACACCCCTCCTCCAAATGTGCATGCGCAGACTCGGCCAATACCAGGAAACCTTTGCAGGCCAGGTGAGCTGAACCAAAAATATCATTCTTCCTAAATCCCACCAAACAGCATAACGGCTTAAGTGTGCAAGATGCCCCAGGAACAAGGTAGCTATTCTGGAAGCAAGGTTAAACCTCAGGGCACTCACTAGCCAGGGAGGCAAAACCTGGACACAAGTTAGTGATTGCAAACAGGCACCGTCACGCCCCTGGGAACTGCAAGTGGTGTTCAGAGGCTACGCAGGCCTGTGGGTGGTGCTGGCACGGAGCTAGGTAGCTCAGAGGTGACACTCTGCAAGCTGCAGCAAGGGAGCCAATGCCATCTCCTTCATGCTCCTCATTTCCCCGAGCCCTGAGTCCCTCCCTGGGTTTGTACTGCTTCGCCCAGCTTGCCTTGATGGGCTCAGACAGGAACAAGAGGTCCCTGAGAGCTGAGTCCTGTCTCTGACTGGGACACCAGTGCAAGGGCCGGGAGCTGGTGCAAAAGAGGCTCCTTGGCCAGAGCGAGACTGGCCTATCCCTGGGGAGCCACCTGCTTAGTCCGACAAGCGTCCCCCTTACTGGCTCAGCCTGTGGGCCCTTTAGGCGTGAAAGACTGTTGCCCTCACTGTTGAGCATGCTTACAGCAGAGCCCTTGGCCGTCAGGCTTAGCTTTACTGAAGAGGAAACAGCTCCGCCAAGGTCACTTCTCCCATGGATGGCTCACATCCAAAGACTAATTGATGTGGAGGGTAAACGCCTGGCCCCCTTGTCCCGGAATCAGAGAAAGCTGAAGGGCTGACCCGTTTTCAGTCCCGTGTCAGCTTGGCTGAGACCATCACCGCTCCACAGGGGCTCTGAGAGCTTAGTGGTTACTAGTTGAGCTGCTAACTGCGAGGTCCAAAGTTGGAAACCACAGCTTCTTGGGAGAAAGATGGGGCTCTCTGCTCCCTTCAAAGAGTCCGTGTCTCAGAAACTCCCACGGGCAGTTCTACCTTGTCCTGTAGGGTCACTATGAGCATGGACTTGATAGTTATCTGGGTTGGTTGGTTGGTTCTTGCCCCTCCGCTTCTCCCTCGTGCTCACTCCTGCCCCCTTCCCATCCATAAGTTCTAGTTCCCAGGTCAGCCTCCCATGCCCTGCTCTTATCGTCAGTCTCCTCTGTAACACTGGGCCCTCAACAGGAGGGCAGACCCGTTTTCTGGAGGTTGATTTCATGTCAAGTTCCCCGTCAGGGCTGGCTCCACACCCCCATCCATTTGGCTTCCAAGGGCATGCTCCTTTCCAGCGGCCACCTGGTCGTGTAGAGCAGTAATCTTGTGAGAGAAGCTTAGAACAGTTCACTTCGTGTCAGTCATACGGCCATGTAGGAACCATCTGGTTAGCTAGCAAGCTAGCTTTTGAGACCTTCAGCTCGGAACAGGACATTGGGGGAGCAGAGGCTTTGGGAGAGCAGAAAGGAGAGGGATGCTTAGCCTACACACGGAGTCATCAAATGTGAGCGGTAGAAGGGAGTGTGGAGACCCTGGGTTCTAGTTCTCGTGAGAGATGAGGCCCAGGCTCATGTGTGCGACTCATGGCAAAGCCCAGATGCTGACGTCGCCACCACCTCAGCCAACTGCTGCTCCCTCAGCCCACCCTCCTACCTGCTTCTCCACAATGGCTGGGCTTTGATCTTGTTCACCTGGGCTGCCCCATATTCCAGGCCTTGCCAGCGGCTTGCTGGCTGAGGGCTGCGTGCCACACCGTTGCCACAAAAATCCTGTCCTGTCTCAAACTGGTTTGACAACGGGGTGAGGCTGGGAGCAGAGAGCACAGGGCGGCTCCCGCACCCGGGCTGTCATCCATCTACAGGCAGGCGCCGGCAAACACTTACTCACCATCTTAGGTGTGGACCAGGGGCCACCAAAGTCACCTCCCTGTGTGTGAGTGTGACCTGCCTCGCCTACCAGTGGAGCAGAGGTGGCTGAAAGCGCAGGGAACGAGGCCGCCTCGTCCTTCCTCGCCCAAACTCCAGCCCAGCGTTCCCCGGAGTGAATGGCCTGCATTTTTCAACACACTCCTCCAAGAAGTCTCCCTTCTCTGTAGTGCCTCCTCCTCCCACCTCACCCAGCCTTCCAGGATTCTGTTTGCCTCAGAGCAGAGAGGGTGTCCTCAGGAAGACCCTGAACCAAAGGGCCCCAGGGTGGAGGGGCAGTTTGGGGGTGGTGACCAACTCACACACAGGCCCCTTCTTCCTCCGGAGAGTGTTTTCCCTCTCCCAAGTCTTGGTGAGTCAGGGCCACACACAAGGCTCCTATTCACGCCCCTGTTTGCTTCGGCTGGGGCTCAGATGTTGACCTCCCTCTCCCCATTGCTCTGTGTGGGCCTCATTCTCACCATGGGAAAGCTCGGCTCCTGGCCCCGTGCCTCCTCACTGCCCACCCCAAGCCCCATGCCCACATTCCTCCTCCTTACCCTTGTGGGGGCTAGCAGTCCAAGCTGCACACACGCGCTGGACACAGAATAAAATGGAAGGCTTATGGTCTTGAATCCACACTCACATCTTGAAGGGGTATTTGCTGCCGCTGAGTCTGGACCAGCCCCTAGCTCTGTAATGAAGGGGACACACACACACACTATGCCCTTCATTCACCTAGCAAACAGTTATTGGTCGCTGCTGAGAGAGGCACTCAGAGGCTCCGTGGAAGAAAGGCCTGGCACTCACTCCTTCAAACCAGCCCTGGAAAACCCAGCAGCGTGGGTCAGCATCCACTCCCTGGCAACGGTGGGTGGTTTTTGTTTTGCTTTTAACTCTGCGCTTCCGGCACCGTGTTCTGACTTGGAGCTTAATAAGGTGACCAGGTTTTAACATTGGTAAAGCGGGACACCATTGACAAAACTCATATCCTGGTGAAATAGCCACATGGCAGCCGAAAACCGTATACCCTAGCTTGTGCATTCTTTCCAAAAATTGGGACTTTTTTAAAACGCCGCGGGACGCGGGAAAATTTATTAAACAGCGGGACGTCTGGTCACCTTAAGCACACATTCACGGACGTGACATCTCGGGGTGGGGGTGGCAGCGCTGGGAAGAAGGCAGTGGGTGCCTAAGGGGTTCAGTAGAGCAGGGAGACTCGTGGGCTCTGCGTCGCATGAAGCTCCCGGTTTGAATAAACAGAAGGGAGAGAAATAC